GTGTACAGATCATGTACTATATCCTTAAAAGGCAAAATCTTATACGTAGACTTGATTCCCCTCCGTATTTGGAACTTTCATGTAATCTTAGGGATGGATTGGCTAGTTACCAACCATGCCTCTACTGATTGTAAAGCCAAAAATGTCTCCCTCAAGTTACCAAACTAACTCAAGCTTGTCTTTGGTAGGACTGGAGTTTCCAACCCTCCCTGTATTATATCCTCCACGACAACCCAACGACTTCTAAAAAAGGGGTTGTTGTAACTATATCTGTTATGTGATCAATACACAAAAAGAGGCCCCCACCGTTGATGCAATCCCCGTGGTTTAAGAATTCCCAGATGTCTTTCCTGAAGATCTACCTGGTATCCCGATCGATCGGAAAATCGAATTCACCATTCAAACTCAACCTGGTACTCAACCAGTATCAAAAGCCCCTTACCGCATGTCAATGACGGAATTGAAAGAACTAAAGACTCGACTCCAGGAACTCCTGGACAAGGGTTTCATTCGACCTAGTACCTCACCCTAGGGAGCTCCAGTACTATTCATAAAGAAAAAGGATGGCACAATGAGATTATACATGGATTACCGGGAGCTGAACATGGTCACCATCAAGAATCAATACCCTCTGCCACGAATCGATGACTTGTTCAATCAACTTCAAAGCTCCCAAGTATTCTCAAAAATTGACTTGCAATCTGGCTACCATCAACTAAAAGTCAAAACAGAAAGCATCGAAAAGACTGTCTTCAGAACCCGTTACGGGCACTACGAGTTTCTTGTCATGCCTTTTGGCGTCACAAATGCTCCAGCAGCTTTCATGGACCTCATGAATCAAGTGTTCAAACCCTATCTTGATGAGTTCATCATCGTCTTCATTGATGACATTCTCATATACTCCAAGTCATCGGAAGACCATGAGCAGCACTTGCGAACGGTCCTACAAACACTATGTGATCACAAACTTTATGCCAAGTTGAAGAAATGTGAATTCTGGATCACTAGTGTACACTTCCTCGGTCACGTCATTAATAAAGATGGCATCTCAGTTGACCCCCAAAAAGTTACAGCAATCGTGGACTGGCCACGACCTACTAATGTGTCAGAAATTCAAAGTTTCTTGGGTCTAGCTGGCTATTACCGAGGTTTCATGCAAGATTTCTCAAAGATAGCATCACCCTTGACCCATCTAACTCAGAAGAACACACCATTTGAATGGACTGACAAACAAGAGCATTGCTTTCAAGAATTAAAAAGTCGACTTATGTCAGCTCTTATACTAGCACTCCCTACAGGAGCAAATGGGTTCGTAATTTATAGTGATGCCTCATACAATGGTTTGGGTTCTATTCTTATGCAAAATGGAAAAGTCATTGCTTATGCCTCATGCCAACTAAAGACTCATGAGAAAAACTACCCAACTCATGATCTAGAATTAACTGCGGTGGTCTTCACCCTCAAGATCTGGCGTCATTATCTCTATGGTGCAACTTGCGAAATTTACACTAATCACAAGAGTCTTAAATACCTATTCACACAAAAGGAACTGAATATGAGGCAACGACGGTGGCTAGAATTTATAAAAGACTACGATGTAGAAATCCATCACCATCCAGGCAAAGTTAATGCGGTGGCAGACGCACTGAGCCGAAAGATGACCAAAAGTTTGACGTGTACTCTCGTTTCCTGCAAGATCAATGGACTACTGGCCAATATAACCATGGAACCTGCATTGATTAAAGAAATTAAAGTACACCAATGTGAAGATAAACTTTTGAAGAGAAAGTACGAAGAGCAAAGGAGTACGCCTGATCCTGATTTCACTATAAGCAATGGGATACTAAAATTTCAAAATCGAATTTGCGTACCTGACATTCCGGAACTCAAGAAGAAGATATTAGTGGACGCACATAGCTCGAGATTTGAAGTATACCCTAGCAACACAAAGATGTACCATGATCTAAAGGAACACTACTGGTGGACAGGAATGAAAAGAGACATAGCAAGCCATGTCTCCAAATGTCTGCATTGTCAGCGTGTTAAAGTAGAACATCAGAGACCTACAAGACTGCTGCAACCACTCCTTATTCCTGAATGGAAATGGGAGCACATTACTATGGATTTTGTGGTCGGGCTACTACAGTCATTTTTAAAGAATGATGCAGTATGGGTTATAGTAAACCGATTGACGATGTTGGTGCATTTTCTACCAATCAAAATCATGTACTCTCTTAATAAGTTTGTCACTTTATACATCAAGGAAATTATTCGTTTGCATGGTACCCCAGTTTCAATCATGTCTAACCGAGACCCCCGCTTCGTGTCTCACTTCTAGAACAAATTGCAAGAAGCTTTAGGAACCACACTAAAGTTTAGCACTGCTTATCACCCACAAACTGATGGGCAGTCCGAAAGAACAATCTAGACATTAGAAGACATGTTACATGTACGCGTGTTGGACCTCAAAGGTAACTGGGATGAGCACCTACCTTTAGTGAAATTTTCCTATAACAAGAGCTACCAAGTAAGCATTGGAATGGTACTGTACGAAGCTCTGTATGGAAGGAAATGTTGATCACCTCTGTGTTGGATGGAAGTCGAGGATAGGAAACTATTTGGCCCTGAGATCGTGCAAGTCACAAGTGAGAAAATCCAACCCATCCAACAGCGAATTTGCACTGCTCAGAGACGCTAGAAAAGCTATGCAGATACACAGAGACGAGACTTACAATTTCAAATATGAGATCATGTGTTCCTTAAGATCTCATCAACAAAAGGAGTTATTCGATTTGGAAAGTGAGGAAAGTTAAACCCACGTTACATCGGACCATTCGAGATACTGGAAAGGATTGGTCCTGTTGCATATCGCCTTGCATTGCCTCATGAACTGTCCAATGTCCACAATGTGTTCCACGTTTCGATGCTCCGACAGTACCTCCGAGATCCAGAACATGTCGTCGACTATGAGAACTTGGAAGTTCAAGAGGACCTCTCTTATGAAGAGCAACCAGTGCATATTTTCGATCATCACGATCAAGTTCTCCGAAACAAGACTATACCTCTGGTAAAAGTCTTGTGGAGAAATCATCAAGTCGAAGAAGCTACTTGGGAAATGGAAAGTCAAATGCGAACCAAATTTCCGCACATCTTTGAAAATTAAGGTATGTCAAGTTTGGGGACAAACTTCTATTTAGGAGGGGAGAAATGTGACACCCTAAATATTTAATTAATACCACAACCAATCATGATAATAATATTAATACTAGTGGGAGTGACAGTAAACTAAAATAATTAATTTTCTGTCGGTATGCGATAAAGTGTCATTTAACTAGGGATTAGTTTGTGTTTTTATAAAATGAAGGGGAATATAATTATTTTAAAGAATTGAGGCCAAAATATAATTACCGGAAGTTAATAAGATAAGTATATGAAAATCCTAAGTGATTCGTGATTAGATCAATATTAAAACATTCCAAATCCCAATTATTCAAAACACGCAATCTAAATCATCAAGCACTTACAAAAGTGATTTAGATTGTTGTTTTTCTGAATAAACAATAAATCGACATAAATGATTTTTACGTGGAAAAACCACAATTAAAAAACCTTCAATTGTAATCAAAAACCACGGGCGAAACGCCACTAATCAATCCACTACTGAAGAAAGAAAGATTACAAAGATAATACACAAATTACCCAACTCAGTCAATTTGTCTTCGAATCTTCTCTAACTCTTTCACCACGCCTTCGTCTCGGAACTGATCAATCCTGAAGTTGAATCCACAACTTCACTTGTCGAATAAACGACTACGTACAGAATCAAACTCCTTTGAAACTCCACGTTTGAATCTTCGGAATCCACCGAAGAAGATCACTCTTGTATGTAGATGAACAATCTCCTTGATATGTGCCTCTCAATTCATGAGTTGAATACTCATTCAATTTTATCAAGGAAAACTCATAAAAACCTCAGAGGAAAACCTCAAACAAAACCCTAGGACTCTTGAATAAGATCTAGGAAAAGTAAACCCTAAAATCTGCTTAAACAGATATAAATAGGCAAACAAAGTCCGCGATCTCCGCTCGAGCGCCAAACATCCCGCTCGAGCGGCTTCAACAAAACATGCGTGTGACAAAACAGAGTTCTGCTCGAGCGCTGGAGAATCCGCTCGAGCGCAAAATCACACAGCTCAGTATTTTTATAGACCTGACAAACTACTGAGTTATCCCATATTACGCTCGAGCGCCAATGGCTCCGCTCGAGCGGGAAAGACAAAAACTTGGAAAAAGTTACAACTTTATCAAAACAAAGTTTGTACGTGGATTTGACAATAAAGGGATCTAACAATCTCCCCCTTTGTCAATTCCCGGACAAAACTTTTCTAAACAATTTTCCTTAAACACACGCACTAGACAATGTAACAACCAGGAAAAGAATAACACTAAAACAACTCTATTCTCAACAAAACAATCCTGCCATGCGAATAATCCATCCAAAACAATCCTGCCATTCGAAATAATGCATCCAACAAACACCTGTGAAAGAACAACCAACATACCAAGAAAAACAAAAACTGTGGAATGGCATAAAAAGAGATATAGCTATAAAGATAACCGTGATACTAGATCCAAAATGATATTCACAATACTGAAAAACAACCGGAATGGATGGCAAAATATCAACAAGACAAAGTATCCAAATATCCAAATATATAAACATGTATCCAAATATCCAAATAGACAAAGTATCCAAATATCCAAATAAATATCTAAACATGTACCACCAAATGTACCACCAAAAACTCTCCCCCTTTTTAGCCGAGAGAAGGAAGACAACAGGCGAATGAACAACCAAATCAGGCATCAGGTGGAGGCTGCTGAAGCTGTAGTAAGGAAATAATGTGCTCCAGCTGAGTGGTAGTCTAGATGGAAGACTGCTCCAACTAGCCAAGGCAGCCATCAAAAGCATCAAATCGAGCATCCAAAAAGTCCAATCGCTAAGTCATAGCATCCTCGAAATGTTGAAGTTGGTCACGAAACGCCCGAGGCGGAACAGCATCCGCCTCACCACCAGCTGTGGTAGCATCAAACTCAGCCTCCTCAGCAAGGCCAGCAGCGGTAACTGCAGAAGTACCAGCCCGAGAAAACTCCCCCTTAACATGAGGCCGACTCTGGGAAACGGTTTTTTTAGTGAAAGGCCGAGATGGGAAGGCAAACTCATCATCCTCGAAAACTAGAACCTCAAGCTCGGACAAAAGATGGTTGATCATACAACCATACGGGAGTCCTAACTATTTGATCCCAAAGACACCTATCATCTTTCTAATAATTAGTGTGGCAAGGTCAATGGACATATGATGAGCAAGACAGAACAAAACGAACCCCTGGTCTTGATTAATTTCGGATGAGTGGGTGGTCACAATGAGATTAGCACAGACAATTAGATTAAGCAGTCTAAACTCGGGAAGGAGTTCAAACTGTTTAATCAATGAACCCTGAGGCCAAGGGCGGGGAGTACCACATAAAAACTCAGCCACATTATTAAAGTCACAGGTAGGATGAACTGGAAAATGATAATGTTCAGGAAATACTTGATCAATCTTAAGAAGCCCTCGAATTAGATCAGGAGTGACATTGATGGATTTAGACCTAACCCAAGTGGTGAAGGAAGGCTGACTTACGAAATAATTTGGCTTGTTTAGCAGATTGAAACCTCTCAGAATTGAATGCAGGACGCGACACAGTAGACTTTCGGCGCTTACAAGCAGACATGATGACTCGAGACACAATAAAAACCCAACACTAAACAAACCCAAAGAGTAGAGCAACAAAACACAGATAACATTAGTAACATTAGTAACAATGAGATGGAAAAAAAAACAAATATGCGACTTACAATATGATGGAACTCACAAGCACAATGCATAAACATGGATAACAGATGCAGGGCTTAATATTAAAGAAATAAGGATCATAAGAAAGCACTTAAACAGGATCCACAAATGTGCAAATAAGAACTAGGCCTCACCATAGCAATCTAGTACGACGAAATCAAACCAACCAAAACAGGAGAGACATGAGACCATAAAAAATTAACAATAAGAAACCCTAGGTCTAATGACACAACAAACGACATAAGAAAAAAACAAGAAAACCATCATTAAGAAGAAACCAAGACTCAGTGAAAGTGTGTGAGGGAAAGGGAAAAAAACTAGACACAAAACAAACAAAAACCCGAAATACAACCCCCATGTGAACTGAAAATAACAGAGAAGGAGATGGAAAACACTTACCAAGGTGGAATCGGCGAGGAAGAGGAAGAAGAATGGAAAAAACAAGCCCAACTAGACCACAATCCAAACCCTAGAGATGAGAGACGAAAAAAGAGGGGAAAAAAATGACCTGAAAAGTCGAGGGAGGGAGTTTTATACGAAATAGGTCCGCTCGAGCGTAATGAGTACCGCTCAAGCATGAGGCAAGACAAGCAGATACCCGCTCGAGCGCGAATAAGGACGCTCGAGCGTAAAAACACCCCTCACAGAACTGTAAAACAAGGACAAAATGTTGCAAGGCGAAAAAATACGCTCGAGCGTGGAACAGTCCGCTCGAGCGAAGACCTTTTTTTTTTTTTTGTATGAAAACAAAAAACAACTAGGATGACCTATAACACGCAGGGAGTCCAAGTGAATGACTATACCCTAGGATAAAAGAATCCATCAATCATGAGTCCTGAAAATTTGTTAAAAAAAATTGAAGCACCAGGTTATGAATAAAACAGATAGAATTTAATCAAGGCCATAAGCAGCATAAGAATGCATAACTCAAAAACACACATGAGAGCTCACAAATAAAATGTGTGTGTGTGCAATCCTTGAGAGTCACAAAGCTAGAGTTAATCCTCATAGTGATCGGATGGCTGGACCTCCGACAAGAGTAACTGACCATCATAAAGAAAAGTCAAACCACTAGGAATCACGGGGTATTTGTTGAGTAAACGCGAAAGCTCCCCCTCAATCAATGAATGTTTTTTGAACTTTTCTTTCTTGTGGGCACTCACTGGTGGCATACTCGCTCAAGAGTATGGAGACCAAACCAAAGAAGAATGAAATCAAAAAGGATGGCTTGGTTGGTGCCTCTGAGGTAGCCTTTTCCTAATGCTCGGATTTTAATGAACTAAGGGAGAAACCATGGAAGTGAAAAAATAATAGTAGATGGTTAAGAGACTCAACATCACCCATGATATACCAGTATAGGTTAATTCCTCTGAGAAAGTACAAGAAACACTATTAGTGGTCCATAGAGAACTGTGATCACTTGTGCGGAAACCCCTGCAACAGTTTATCTCAAGAATGTGTACAGAATGAGATCATGAAGTGAATGAGTATGGGCATTCAAAATGAGCTATGAACAAAGACGAATAAGATCTTGTAAGCAACATGAGCAGTGTTCATATAAATTTTTGATGCAAAGATATCAGGACGGAAAGACAATGAGATTATCACATCCAAGAATACAATAAGCCAACCACTCATACCCATTAAAGGAAACAGGAAACACCCTAGCTACTGAGCACAACACGCAAGGTCTTCCTAAGAAACTCAAACCGAAGAAGATCAAGGGGTTTTCTAAAAATATCAGCTTTTTGATGCTCAGTGGGAACATGTTCCAGAACAACAAGGCCTTCTTCCACTAACTCTCGAATAAAATGATGACGAATGTCAATGTGTTTGGTGCGAGAGTGTTGGACAGGATTTTTTGAAATGTTTATGGCACTTGTGTTATCATAGAAAAGAGTGAGAGTGTTCTGTTCAATCCCATAGTCATGAAGCATTTGCTTCATCCACAGCATTTGTGCACAACAACTTCCTGCAGCAATGTACTCAGCCTCAGCAGTCGAATGAGAGATGGCATTTTGCTTTTTACTATGCCAGGAAACTAGATTATTCCCAAGGTAAAAACACCCCTCGGATGTACTTTTCCTATCATTAGCACACCCTGCCCAATCGACATTAGAAAAACCACTAATTTCAGCTGTAGTATCAATAGAAAACCAAACCACATACCCCACTGTCCCATTAACATATTTGATGATGCGTTTTACCGCAAGAAGGTGAGACTCTTTAGGACTGGCTTGGTAATGGGCACAAGCACCGACGCTGAAGGAAATATCAGGACGACTAGCTGTAAGATACAGAAGACTCCCAATCATACTCCTCTAAAGGGTAGGATCTACATCAATTCCGGAGGAGTCTTTGGAGAGGTGATGACTGGTACTCATAGGAGTACGTGCATGTTTGGCAGACTCAAGTCCAAACTTTGACACAAGATTTTTGGCATACTTAGACTGAGAAACAAACATACCTGAAAAAGACTGTTTAATTTGAAGACCCAAAAAATAAGGCAACTCTTCTATCATGCTCATCTCAAACTCATGTGTCATGCAATCCGAAAAATATTTCACAAGATGTTCAGCTGTGGATCCAAACACAATATCATCAACATAAATCTGAGCAACAAGAATATGAGACTTAGTATGTTTCACAAATAAGGTCTTATCCACACTACCCCTTTGAAAATCATTATCAAGAAGAAAGGTAGTAAGTCTATCATACCAAGCCCGAGGGGCTTGTTTCAACCTATACAAAGCCTTGTCTAACTTGTAGACATGATTTGGACATTCAGGGACCTCAAACCCTTTTGGTTGCTCAACATATGCCTATTCTTTCAAGTACCCATTCAGGAAGGCACTTTTCACATCCATTTGAAACAATTTGAAACCAAGATAACATGCAACACCAAGCAAAATACGAATAGATTCGAGACGTGCAACTGGGGCAAACATCTCATCATAGTCAATACCTTCTACTTGAGTGTATCCTTGAGCAACCAACCTAGCTTTATTCCTAACCACAGTACCATTCTCATCAGATTTATTTTTAAAGATCCACTTGGTACCTATCACATTCATGTCTCTAGGTCTGGGGACTAGAGTCCAAACTCTGTTACGTTCAAATTGACCTAATTCTTCATGCATACCATTGACCAACTATCATCTAGCAAGGCCTCTTTAAAATTCTTAGGGTCAATTAAAGAAACATAACACATATGTGATACCTCATCCTGAATCTGTCTTCGGGTTTTCATTCGATCCGATACACTTCCAATCACCTGTTGAGCTGGATGATTTAGTTTCACCCTTGCTGATGGTTTGAACTCAGGACTTGTGGTGACAGAAGCATCAGGAGTGATGTTTCTTTGTGCACTCTTTGGACTTTGACTTACCTGTGAGGATGGTGTCGTCTCAACTTCTTGTGCTTGGACCTCAACTTCTCTTTGACTTTGTGGTTCAGTATCCAAGATTGGAGACTCACCATTGTCATCCTCATTTGTTGCTGGAGTAGGTGAACCTGTGTCATCTATAACCACATTGATAGATTCCATTAAAGAAGAAGTTCGTAGGCTATAGGCTCGAAAAGCCCTACTAGTGGTTGAATACCCTAGAAAAATACCTTCATCACTTCGGGAGTCAAATTTGCCCAAAGGCTTTCTATCTTTGAAAATGTAGCACTTACTCCCAAAAGTTTTGAAGTATTTTACATTAGGTTTCAATCCCTTCCACAATTCACATGGAGTTTGTAAAGTGTCGGGCCTTAAATACACGCGATTTATGACATAAACAGCAGTATTTAGGGCTTCAGCCCAAAACTTTGGAGGAAGTTTCTTGCTAAGGAGCATGACCCTAGCCATTTCTTGAACAACTCTGTTTTTCCTCTCAAACACTCCATTTTGTTGTGGAGTAATAGGTGCAGAAAATTCATGCTTAATTCCATGCATATCACAAAAATCCGAAAACGAACTATTTTCAAACTCACAACCATGATCAGTTCGGATTCTTATGATACACCCAATGGAAACACCCTGTTCATTTTGGATTTTAAGGACTAAGGCCTGGAAAGCATCAAATGTATCATATTTTTCCCTTAAAAAATTTACCCACGAAAAACGAGTAAAATCGTCAACAGTTAAAAAAAAATGTATCTTTTACCTCCAATGCTTTCAGTGCGAGTAGGACCCATTAAATCCATGTGAACCAGTTCAAGAGGACGTTTGGTTGTAAAGCTATTCACCTTTTTATGAGGGGCACGAGTCTGCTTTCCAAGTTGACATGGCCCACACACATGGTTCAGATTCTTACCCAGTTTAGGTACTCCTCTCACAAGCTCTTTGTTAGCTATCTCAGTTAGGTCTTTGAAATTCATATGACCTAATCTTTGATGCCACAAATCAATGTTACTTATGATGGTAGAATGACAAGTGAGATCATTAGTAGTAACAATCCCATAGCAGTTATCAGATGTGCGAACCCCATGCAAGACAGTATTTCCCTTTTTATCCAAAATTTGACATTTATTTTTTGAAAATAATACTTCATGGTGGAATCACACATTTGACTAATGCTCAAAAGATTTGCTTTAAGGCCATCAACAAGAAGAGCATTTTCGAGCTTGGGGAGACCAGCAACACTTATAGAGCCTTTACCAATGACTCTAGAAATGTCGCCATCTCCAAAGGTAACAAGTCCTCCTTCATATTTTTCAAAGGAGGTGAAGTAGGATTTGTTACCGGACATATGACGAGAGCACCCACCATCAAGATACCACATGTGTGAGTCACGTGCTTTTAGGGCAGTGTGAGCAACTAAATAACTCAAATCATCTTTTCTCACCCAAATCTTTTTGGTCTTGGTAACTGTCTTGGTGTTGTGAACACCCTTTTGAACCTCGGTATGCCGCCTAGACATGTAAGGTTGTCTCCTAACCCAAAAAGTATTCGAATTTCTACCCTTTTGAGACACCTTACCAAACAATTCATAGCAATAAGGACGAATGTGGCCATACCTACCATAGTGATGACAAATAAAAATAGGTTTTACCTCCTTTTTGTTGATCTTACCCCTTTTAGGTAGATGAAGAGAGGGATCACCTTGGTCTACCTTCAGCTTTCCCTTTGCTTGAGTCTTCAAGTCATGTGAAGTAAAGGCCTGTCCCTTGTAAGCTGTCGCACCATAGCCTAGCCCACTTTTGTCACAACCCATTTGTTGAGACCCAAGGATGTCTTCTAAAGATTTGGAACCTTTTTTCACATGGCAATAGTGGCTCTAGCAATACGGAGTTCTTCATCTTTCTGACAGACTATCTCTTCCAATGTAGCTTGTGACATCTCAAGACTTTCAAGCTTCTCTTCATATATGGAATACACCTTTAGAAGTTCATTCCTTTCAGTTTCACAGGATAGAAGTTTTCCACATAAGTCTTGCCTGTCACTTGAGATCTTGATGATATTCTTCTTTGCTACTACAAGTTCTCCTTTCAGCTTGACATTCTCACTTTCACATGCTCTAAGCTTGAGAGTGAGTTTGTCATTGATTTTAGACAGATTCAGAGATTCATCATAAAGCTTTCCGTAAGCTTGTTGTAGATCATCACCGGTAATCTCATCATTGTCTTCAGATGTAGATGTTTCATCATCATCTTTTTGCTCCTCATTCTTCTTGACCTCATCCAGTCGGGCAACTAAGGCAGAAAAGTTGCTGGATGGTGGTGAAGGTGAATCTCCTCTTTTATGGAATTGGCTCAAAGTCTCCCATGCATGTTTAGCCTTCGTGCAGTGAGCAAGCCGCTGCTATTCTTCATCAAAATTGCTCCACGAATAGATATCAGGGCTCTCTGATTGCTCGAATTGTTAGCACTTTCTGTATCTTCTTCAATGGCTTGCCAGCCTTCTGGGTCAAAAGCTCTCAAAAACGCCATCATTCTGATCTTCCAATACAGGTAGTTACTCCCGTCAAAGTTGGGAGCATGATGCAGGTTCTGACCACGAACTAATTCCGTTGGCTTAGGAAGAGGTTGAGTGAATGTGGACCAAAATGCCATGAAAGCACTATCCCCGTCTTCTGCGGATTCAGGTTCTTCGGGTTCTTGCTCCGACCCGCTTTCATCATCCCAAGTCACAATGTAGACTTTCTTTCAATTCTTTTTCGAAGGACATTCAAAGGCAATATGGCCAAACCCTTGACATTCATAGCACTTGACCCCTTGCCCCTTTACAATCTTCATATCAGTTTTAGGAGAAAGTTTTGGTGGAAAGGTTTTGGGGTTTTCATTACTCTTGTCTTTTGAAATAGGGTTTCTGAAATTAGGCTTCTTTTTCTTCAAAAATTTTTTAAACTGTTTAGTAAACATAGCCGTCATCTCAGACTCTAAATCAAATTCAGTTTCCGGAGTTTTTGCAGTCTCATGAGCACTAGTGAAAGCCACACTGTCTTTTTGTTTTTTCTTTGAAATCTGGTGGGCTTCATAAGTCTTCAAGTTTCCAACTAACTGATCAAGCTTGAGGGTATCAACATTCTAAGCCTCCTTAATGGCTGTCACTTTTGATTGGAACCTCTCGGGTAATGACCTCAAAATTTTTCCAATAACTTTTGCTTCTGGGATTTTTTCACCGAGTGTGAAACAGGAATTCACAATATCACTGAGTTTTGCATAGAAATCATCAAACGTCTCATCATCGCGCATAAAAGGGTTTCAAAAGCGGAGGTGAGACGTTGAAGTTTTGACCTTTTGACAGACGTAGTACCTCCGTGAATCGTTTCCAAAATGTCCCAAGCCTCTTTTGCTACCTCACACGTGTAGATTCGACAAAACTCTTCAGGTGTGACGGAGCAAAACAGGGAATTGAGAGCCTTACTGTTCCAACTCAAGTTCTACTAATCAGTTGTGTCCCATTTATCAAGGGTTTTAGAAATATCAATACCATCAATGGTGACAATAGGTTTACTCCATCCATAGATCATGCAGTGCCAAACTTTCACATCGATGGATTTTAAAAATGCTCTCATACGAGCTTTCCAATAAGAATAGTTTGTACCATCGAGTAAAGGAGGTCTATGGGTCGAGTTACCTTCACGTATAGAATCCATATCACTAATCACACAAAATCACACTCCTATAGTTTTGATAAAAACAAAGAGTGACCTGCTTTGATACCAAGTGAAAATCCTAAGTGATTCGTGATTAGATCAATATTAAAATATTCCAAATCCCAATTATTCAAAACACGCAATCTAAATCATCAAGCACTTACAAAAGTGATTTAGATTGTTGTTTTTTTGAATAAATAATAAATTGACACAAACGATTTTTACGTGGA